ACCGGCCCCGTTACGGGGGCTCTGACTAAATTAAAGTTTAGGGTTTAGGGTTTAGGGTGCAGGGTTTAGGGTTTAGGGTCAGAGGCTGATGATGAGAATCTTGAGAGAGATAAGCTACCCTGGGCAGGTGATGGCAATCCCCTCCGCCTTTTAACAAACCCCAACCCCCCTATACCAGGGTTTAGGGTTCAGGGTTTAGGGTTTAGGATACCCGATACAGTATCAAGAAAATCCATTGCTTGGCAGGTGGGGGAATTGTTATTAGGGGCCTCCCACAGCAATCAGGAGGGAAATTGAGCAGAGCATTGACAACAAACAAATCTAGTGACTCCCCACTTGTTTTAGGGGCCCTTGCTGACCAGTACTGGCAAGCCACAGGATCCGTGTGCCTCATAGTCATATCCTTCCCAAGAATCTTTCTAGCACGACTACTCCCAAGCGTTTGTTGCTTCTTTTTTGGAGTTCTTGGAACCCCCATTAGTAAGAGTCTGGCTTTCGCTGCTCGTACATCTTCTGGTCGTCGGGCTCCTCATCCCAGATCGTGTCAATGCTCCTGGGTGTAAGGTAAAGGGGCTTGTCAATTTTCCAGGTTTCTTCAAGCACGACCTGGGTCTGTCCACACATTAATCACCCAGAGGGTCTAAGTACCCAAATATCAAGGCTTCTGATCTCCGAAAACATTTCAATTGTGATATCTGGAGACCTAAATCCCTACTCCTAAGTAGCGCTTCTACTTTGAGGATTATGTGATCCAAGCACTGTGGTTTTGTAATTGCACGTGTTTTCTACATTCCATATGCAGATGCTCTGGAGATCTCACTACTCGACGAAGAAAACAGCTTCTAGAACTCTCAAGACTTATGGGCACAAGAGTTTTCAGTACTGTCTGCGGCTCCTAGACCCTCCATCTGCCCTCCATATACCCTAAATACCCCCTGTTAGGGAGCATGTACCTCTCTTCAATGGTACAGGCAGCATCCTGCTTCTGTGAGTATGTAGAAACACATGTTGTTTCAGCTCAATAGCATGAGTTTAGGGTTTTCAGGGTTTAGGGTGCAGCGGCTCTTCCATCACCCTACATACCCCCCAACACCCACAGCGAGGTACGCGGAAGCCTGAATAGGCACGATTTTGTTCCCTTCAAACCCTTTTACATCTGCAAAACAAGTAACCCCAGTCCGAGTAGTTGGGCTCCTACTTTACGGTAACGCTCTGCAGCGCGGCCCATAAAATGAAAGCGTTGTCCTTGGCAAAACTCTGGTCGTTTGCATAATTGGGGGGGAACCCCATACAGACCCCATAAGACTATCACGCCTACCCCAGAGAGACCTCACAATAAACACCTATTCTGGGGATCTCGTAAAGAAGTGCACTTAATTGTGGGAAACACCCGTATCTGCGCAGAAGGCGAGCACTGCGGTAGGGCCAAGACTTGAGCATTGTCACATTCTTGTTGGGGAGCATGGTCTTGTTTGCTAAGCCTGGCACTCCGCGAGTGAAGCTGGGAAAAGACCACGGTGAAATGTGGTTGTGGGGTACAGAACACAGACATGGAACCTATAATCGTCATATAACAGCAATAATATTAATAGCAATACTGTCAGTAACAATAATAGTACTAGTAAAAGTAATAATATGACAGTGATACAGCCACTACTACAACATATGTTGATAACCTTGAGCCCAAAAGGTCTTGTTCTATCGGAGCCCGTGGCACCGTAGCCTGATGAGAGCTTCATGGTGGCGTTGCTGTTGAGGTAGCCGCCTGGACTCAGCGAGTTCCAACCCAATGTACTGATGTAAGAGCTTCTGACAAAAGGAGTTCTCCATAGGAACCTAGTTGCATGCGGGATGTTGGGGAACTACGTGGGGTTCCTATTAGGGGGAGTTTCGCAGAAACGCTGGTGTTTGATTTTATGTCTTTTTCAGATCCCCAACTCCTAAGCCCCTGAGCCTGTGCCAGGAATGATGCCTTCAATCTCGGTTCCTCACCTTACCCTTCATCATGCCCTTGAACTGTGACGATTAAAAAAATATATATATATATATATGTATATAAGCAGTGTCGACTTCACTCTCAAGTAACTACTAGTGCAAGAACTCGTGAGTGCTCTTCTGAGGGTGCCGCTGAAACTATATGCGTGCATGTGTATATGCACAGACACGAAAGCTGGACTGAAGTAGTAGGTCGTAACACCCCCTCCAGGCCGGCTTATGTCCTTCTTTTTGTTGGTTGCTATCCGGCCTTCATCTGCAGATTGCCGTCCAATTATGTTTAGATGTCTAGGATCGGGACGCAAGCTCTTTGTGATCAACACCTCACTGCTCCTCCCCTGGGCCCTGCACCCAGCTGTCCCACCCCAATTGTCCAGAAAAACTCCTTGTTTGGGGAGCTCGCGGAGGCGGCAAGTGGTTGCAACCTAAACCATAAACCCTGAACCCCAAACAAACTCTGAGCCCAGAACCCCAAACAAACCCTAAGAGGGTTTAGGGTTCAGGGTTAAGGGTTTTGAGGTAAGCCCAGAATCGAGTCCTCCCTCCCTCTTTGAGGGGCTGACCCGCATCCGTCAACGTCGCCGCTGCAGCGGCTTTCAGAGCAGTAGCCGAGGCATTGCCCTCGAGGTACTATGTTCCCCAGTAGACACGGTTTAGGGTTTAGGGTTTAGGGCATTGATAACCAGGGTACCCTTTTCCTAAATCCTAAACCCTAAACCCCTTTAATAAGGAGACCCAAGAATGAAAAGGGCAAGATGTTACTACTGGGGTACCTAGGGTTCTCGTAAAGGGCAATACACTTTGCAATTAACTATGGGGATGTGTGCTCATTGTGCTTGTGTATGCATGTATACATGCCTCACATTCAGTCAATGAGATCAAGAATCGGATTGGGGACCAAATTTTTGGGCTGGTGTTTACACTATCCCTGCTTAGCAGTAGTGTCTAGCAGTGATGGGGCTTGAAAAGGCACATCCGAAGCTGCAGCTTCCTCACAAAAGCCTCCAACGAAGGGCCGTTGGTTCAGAAACTCCCATAAACAAGCCTGCCCTGAACAGCCTTGAGCGTCGCTGACTGCAACGCTTTAGGAGCCATGGCTTTGGAGACAGTACTTTGAAGGACCCTGAGGTTTCAAGTCTAGGGGGTTCTGGAACTATCCTGTTTTGGTACGTGTCATTAGGAACTTTGGGGCTCTAATGTATTCTTAACTCCAGGATCCCTCAAAGTGGGCTGGGCTGTGGGTTGGAAGTGTCATGGTTCAGCTTTTGCGAGGCTTCGGTAATGTAGACCCCTGATTAGTAAACCTCCTCCTTTTAAGGGCCTTAATGTTAGGATCCCTATTATAATCCCTAGTAAGGGGAGGGGGTTTATTAATTAGGGGTCTTCCCAGATCTGCCCAGCTGGGGCTTGCTTCCGACTGACTACCGTGGGAGGCCGTTTGGGCAAGTATCCTCCACAGCGGGTTTGTTGAGTGGCTCCCCGAAGTATCAAGAAAAACCGATGAACCGACAAAGCTCTATAGAAGCCGGAGCAAACTGCCTTGACAACAAGTTAGCCACTGTGAACCTCTCAGCCACTGAAACCGTACACTATGCCCTGAGCCTGGGCTCACTCCGACGCTATGACTTCAGCCAGAAAGGCCGACGAGGGCGGCACCAAACATGCACCGTCATGGCCAGCAAGGTTACAGTCAAGATTCAGACCCTAAGGGTCCAAGTACCCAATATTTTGGTACATGGTGTTTGGGTAGTAGTAATTATAGCACAAGTTTTGGGGAAGTATATGAATATTAGGTATTTGGACCCTTATGAGGGAGAGAATAGTTGGAGCTACAGTTTTCGGGTTTAGGGTTGAGGTTTGTGGTTTTCTACTTGGGGGGGCGCATGGCGTGGCTGGGGCTTCGGTAGCAGTGAACAAAGGCTTTGTATTATCACGAGCCACAGCTGTAAGGAACCGTATTTGCAGTAACTCTGGATATATATATATAAGTAAATACATAATTATATAATAGTACATTCCCACAAGCATGAGAACTGCAATCACCTGACGGCACTAGCCGAAGAGCATGCAAGTACTAGTAAGAGCTGCAGGTGCAACAATGGCAAGAGCGAGCTTGGTCGACCAACATGCCTCCAACGAGAAATCGTATAAGGCAACTAGGTAGCAATTTCTGAAGGCATTGCAACAAAAACATGATAGCACAGTTGGCAACACGTAAAGGAGTCCTGAGATGGCTTCGCAAATTCATGTAGCCGAATCTTGGCCCTCCGAGGCTACCTTTGAAATCACTGAGGCATGTCAGATGCTGTAATCAGGAAAGCCGGCTTCAGGACTATAATCCCCCCACATGGAGTGTTACTGGCTCTACCGCCCAGCCTACAAACACAATCAAAGCGAGGATGATGGGGTTCGTGGTGGCGAGCTCTTTGACGTACCTGGCAGATCAGGACCATGCATGCTGATGCATGCTAGTATGCAACTGCCACGATTGTTCCCACTCCTCTCCTCCGCTTCTTCTTCTTCCTCTTCTTCTACTGCTCCTACTGTTAGTAGTAGTAGTAGTAGTAGTAGTAGTCGTGGTAGTAGTAGTAGTAGTAGTAGTAGCAGTAGCAGTAGCAGCAGCAGCAGCAGCAGCAGCAGTAGCAGCAATGGCTGAATAGCAGCAGCAGCAGCAGGGGCACCAGCACCAGCTCGGGCACCAGCGCTAGCAGCAGTGGCACCACCGCCACCGCCGCCGCCACTCCCACAACCAGCCCCGTCCCCAACCCCCAACACCACCATCGCCTCCAACACCAAGCAGCTGCCGCCGGCACCGGCACCCACATTTGCGCCCGCACCAGCACCCGCACCGGTGCCCACAGCACGCGCACCAGCAATGCTGTCGCCACCACCACCATAGGCTAGCCTTGGTGCTTCAAAATCATGTGGTACAGCGAATCCAACTGCATCCTGAGCTCTTGCCACGGGCGATTTGGGCTCAGCTGTTCTTTTGCTACACCTTCGGCCTTGACATCAAACCTGGTGACCTAGTGGGACTTCAGGGTTTTGGGATTCGGTCCAGGGCATGGGGCTCCTGGAATCACGTGCCAGCAGCTCAGAATTCTAATTCCGCTTCCCTGGTTCCTTGAAGAAATTTGAGGCAGCCTCACATTGGCCCTGGGGTGTGAAGTGTGGGGACGAAACATGAACCAATGACTGCATACTTCCTGAGCTGGGTGAGCCGTAATCTTGATGCGCATCTCCGCGCCTCTACAGAACTGGTTGCATAGATCTGCTGCACCATTCATAAGATTGTTTTAAACAGTCCGAGCCAGCTACCAATGATGCCCTTTCTATCCGAGGGTGTGTTGGCGCGTAGAACTTGTTGACGACCATGCTCTGTCCGGCCACGTCTTGACAATGCTGAAGACTCCTAGACCCCAAACCCCAGCCTCACTGGTGCTTAGCAGGGAATAAGGGAATATAGTCCCCATGTAACCACTATTTAATTGATTCCCTTTTTCCCTACCAACCCCCAGTAAGCAAGCGGAAGGAAGGGAAGCTCCAATCTCTTTTTGTCACTCCTGGCGCTCGATTCGGCAGCCTACGCGTCGGAGCACTTTGCGACGCATACAGCAAACTCACCGTGGGTCTCAGACAGGATGGGTCTAAACATGGCATGTCATACTTTACGATGCCTCCTTCTACTCACTGATGCTAATGTAGCGACCGCTGATACTGATACGACTCTTGATAAAAACCGTCTTCTCTCTGCTACTGTGCTCTCTACTACTGCTACTAGATGCAGCATTCAACGCCCCTAGGCTGACCTTAGTGAGGCGTTCCAAAACCATACAAGTTCAATGGAAGGTCTTCGTGCTTACGTAGCAAGAAACAACTAAACCCTAAACCGAAAACCCTAAACTCAAAAACCTAAACTCTATAGCCTCCAAACCCAAAACCCAAACACTAAACCCTAAACCCTAAAACCCTAAACCCTAAACCCTAAATCCAGTCCTGACCCAGGCTCCCTAAAGGAGAGCTGCTGCAGAGTAATTCCCTCCTACCCGGGAGTTTTCAGGCTTCAGGAGCATTCCCTTTTTCTGTAGTCTCCTTAGACCTATAGCAACGTACAAGTTTTAAAAATTCCTTAGGGTTATACTAGAATAACAAGCAGAAATACTTCCTCAGGCGGCTGCAGTTTTAGCGTCTGTCTTACCAATACGACACAACAGCATCATTTTGCAAATAATCGCTCCCCGGAGATCCAAGAAAATCCCTGATATACCTACATTATTACCTACATTGGGCTATTTGGATAACGTATCCCTACTGGACCCATTGGGAATAGTCTGTCAAGCCTGAGAAGTGATACAAGAAGCCGAAGTACTATCAACAGTGGGATGCCAGGATCCTAACATCTATGTCCGTCTGTCGGGCCAATCAAACATGAGAGGTTCAGGTTTCCAAAACGGCGCGACCCTCTCTTTTATTCTTATGCTTGGATGTTTGTTATGGCATGATTAAGGTTAATTAAGGGGGACCTAGGGGGTGGGTAGTATAGACGGGGGTACTAGTTGAACCCATGATGTTTGCGTCTTTTTCTCCGAATCTCGCCCACTGTTTTTTCCTACATCTCGTTCACTTCGCCCCTTCTTGCACTTGTTGGTAAGCAAAATTCACTACAAGCCGGATGTGTTGATGTTGTTCTTTTCTCCCCCTCTCTATGAATGCATATTTATACACACATATATATATATGTATACAACATGTATACATCAGCAGACTCTTATGCGTATACATCTTTCTGATACTCTCTGGACCTGTCTCACAAAATATACACAGAAAGGCACACACATATGCCTAAATACACCCTAAACCCTAAACCCTAAACCCTAATACACATGGCTCAAGCCTTGAAACTCCCAAACCCTAAACCCTAAACCGTTCACGCGGTACATCTCCTGCTCATCGCCATGCCGCCTGTCTTACTGTCATTTTCAGGCGGTCATTGGGCCCCTGGGCTGTTTGCAAATCTGTTGGTTTCAGGGTTTAGGGCACACCTACAGTAATCTAGACATTTCTAAAATTGCAAGAATACCAAAAGAATTGGCACGATGCCTTTTTATTTCTGGGCACATTGGTTTGTCTAGGTATAGAGCCTAGTGCCTAGGCCTGCAGATGCGGGCTTGTGGAAGAAATGCCCCAAAACTCTGTAGGTTGCAGAATGCGACTTGATTCTCGCATCACTTGGCCAGGTGTGACGAGCAGGGTGCCGCAATATACCATGTAGCAGAGCTCCTATCAGGAAGGCAACTTCGCCACAAATCCACTTATTCTGTCCCTGCTCCTTCGCCCTCAACCATCAAGCGTAAACCTGATCGTTCTCCATAACCCCGAAACCACAAGCCACAAAAAAAAGAGAGAAAAACTAGGGCTACACTCGAAGCCCTGAAAGCTCTGAACCCTTAGAGCCTCATATAAGCCTCAGGCCCTATTTTCCCTGAAGCCTTAGGCCGTTTCGGGTTTAGGGCTTAGGGTTTAGGGTGTAGCCCTAAGTCGAATACAAGCTCCAAACCCTTGACCCCACCCCAGATTGGCTCAGGCATCAGTGCCTTCCCAGCTCTGCCCATGCATGTCCCAAGTTGCTGTCAAGGAACTTAAGTTAAGTTACCATAATGGGTATTCTTGTATGTTTATACATATATATATATATCATAATTATTTCCCCAATATAGTAGCTTAAGCTAAGTTCCTTCGCAGAACCCCAGTTTCGGGTTGAGGGTTTACAGTCTCCTTGAGTTGCTTATCTTGCGCGTGCTGGCCGTCCCTATGTAATCAGGACTGTAGCATTTTTATCAGGAGGGCCCCAATTTGGAGAAAAACAACAGTAAACTGGAACATCAACAAAATGATCTTTTCAAGACTACCATTCCTTTCAAAGAGTGTCGCATGGGTTCCATGTTCATTTTGAGCGCAGGTAGCAGGTAGCAGACTTGTAACAAGATGGCTTCTCAATAATGGAGGACTCTGTGTCTGCGTGTGCTTATCTCTTTATAGTGGATGGCTGTGGAGAGCTTTACAAAGGAACCCAAAATTATCGTGACATTTGTGGT